TATCGTGGGCTGTAAACCATCCATCAAAACCCTACCCACAAGGATGGGCCGCGCACATCCTATATATAATAGTTCACTTTCACTCACAAGTAATTATCAGCATTTTGTAGGGGTTAAAATCCACCACTTAGAAATCAACGTAAAAAATTGGCTAAGTATGGAAATCCTTGACGGGTTTTCCCGCGGACATTCTTAAAAAAGTTGAGGAAATCCGCAGAAAACCTTATCTTTTAGATTGACCCGACTCGCGGCTAACCATGAACCCGACTCGCGAGATGATGACAAACAACAATGGGACGAGTCGCGGAAAATGGGTCGCAGTGTCAGACAGTGGACCGAGCCACAGAGAGAAGCCCACCACATGCAGCCGACTCTGCGGGGAGAGAATCTCGAAGAATAAGGAAAGTTTCTTTATCTCATTAGCAGGAACCCTAGCTGCGAAGTATCTCTATAAATATGTTTGTAAACCTTCATTGAAGAAGATCCGTCGTTTTCACAGAAAAACCATTGTAAAAGTTTTAAGCAAAACATCAATAAAAACAATCATCTTCTCTTATCTCATTGTTTGCTTTCAGTTATTCATACATTAGAAATCTTTGTTCCTCAACCCTAAGACAAATTATATTGTTCGAGTTTCGATTCCCACACACCTTATTTTGACACATCATCTTAAACAAAACAAAAACTAAAAGAATAATTAATCAATCGTTAATCAATTTTCGAAAATTATCAAACCAATATTGTTGAATAAGTAAAGTAATAAGTGGGAGTTTAAGAGAATTCATCTCCCCCTAGAAATATAATAACTCGATTAAATTTTGTGTTATTACAAGTGCATCCCTCTGTTCGCTCTTCTCACATTCTCTGATGCCATTCATATATTGACGTATGAAATGTCCGACCTAAATGTTATTATTATTATTTCTATAGAAAGGAAAGATAAATATGTTAGGTTAGGAATTCGGTACATAGTTGGTCTTCCTCATTGGTTTACTGGAAATTCCTACCATGGATTTTATTTGTGGTGCATAATCATATTACATACAGATCAGGGACGGATCGAGTAAGGGGAAACATGGGTCATATGGTTTAGTACATGTAGATACTATAGAAGTTCTGTAGCATAGTTGATATTTCATTGGGTAATGACACACCATAAACAGGGGCGGTTCAATATAATTTTGGGTCTTATTCCAAATTTTTTAAAAAAAAAATTATAAGGTATATAATCTATAAATAGAAAATTATGGCCCTTTTTGCAAAATTTAAAAAAATCTGGGCTCTAAAATACAGAAAAAGAACAAAAAATGTGGAGTTTTGTGCAGTTGCACACTTGACTCCCCGTCAATGTCGGCTCTGACCATAAACTCAGGTCGAGTACCCCCTATTTCACACTTATATATATTTTTTTAATTCACCTAAGTAAAAATAAATTTTGGATCCACCATTGATACAGATTCAATAAGTGGTACTAATCATAACGAGAATCATTTTTTTATATATATACTATATGATTCACAAGCTGTAGAAAAATATTTTCATTAGGCATATTCATTTTAGATTAAAAATATAGTAAAAGCAAGTATTGTGGGAGTCGAAACTAGCACAATTAGATTTGTAAGGATTTCTTGAGGAAACAGAGATTTCTAGGTTAAGCTACGAATGAAACGATAAGCAAAGAGAAACGTTTGTTATTGCTGTATATGCTTTTGTGAATAAAGTTGTGGATCCCTTTTACAAGGGTTTGTACATTAATATATATAGCTCCCTAAGTCGGCTAGACATATTTCCTAAAGATAATCTTCACTTTCCTAAATCTTTGCGGATTTCCTTTTCCTTATGTCGGTTGTGTCAAAGTGGGCTTCGCCATTGGACTGGGCTTTAGCGCAGGAAACCTTCTGGCCTTTGTCGTTACTCTGGCAGGTCTTCGGTGGCCAGTGTCGTCGTTGACACTGTGTCATCGCTGCCAGTGTGACATCGCTGGCTCTGCACTTCGTTGGCACTACTCTTCGCTGGCACTACATTTCGCTGGCACTGCTCTTCGTTGGCACTGCACTTCGCTGGCACTGCTCTTTGCTGGCAGTGCGACATCGCTGACAGTGTGACCTTGCTAGCACGGTGCCGGTTCTGCACTCCTGACTTTTGCTGCGAGTAGAGAGGACTCAGAAGGCTCCTTTCTTAGACGGAGAAGACTTAGGAAAGGTGAAAGACTTCATCTTCTAGTTAGGAAATGACTTGGGAGAATCATATAACATCTGTACGTTAATGCGATTTCGTGTCTATGCGCTGCGCTTGCATAACTTTGGACTTCAACATTGAGCGGGTGAAATCCGACCCCAACAAGTGTATATTGATTAATTAGTATAAAAATACTATACGATATGTATCTTTAACATTACCACATGAAGGGGATGATTGGAAAGAGCTGTAGATGCTCTCCACATCCATATTTTAGTCTACAGCTTTAAATACATACCAATCATGTTTTACTCGTAATTTTCTGTCTACAGCTTTTTTTTTTTTGGTGCTGTAGAGAGATAAATATCTACAGCCTTAATTTTTGGGCTGTGAAGAACTTACATATTTATCTTATCAATTTTTCTTTTTTCTTAAACGTCTGAAACTTTATTCCAAATGAAAAAATAGAACACAATGTCAGAAACAATATCCATGTGCCCTTCGACAAAAACAGGGCAACAACGTAAGCAAAATCAAACTCCTAATGGAAAATAAGTAAAAGATGTTACTAAACATACTACCGAACAATACGATCATGTAGCCAGAAGGGCCTCCAAGAGAAAGATAAGACTGAAATCTTCCATCCCTTATCACACTTTTTGCAATTTTCCGAGCAATGGAATTAGCTCCTGCTTGTTCATCTTCAACGACACAGCTGTTGAAACTCAACTTAATCTCGTTAATCTTTGATAGCAAGGCATTATAACGCGGCCACATATTTGGCTTTGTCAATGCTTATGTGATTGCCGAGTAGTCAGAGGCAATGATGATGTCCGAGTAGTGTAAGTCATGTAAGCTTTGTAACATCCATAACGCACAACGGAGTTCCGCAAAAACTCTGTTTTTGGACCTTG